TAAAAACCATATTTACTTAAGAGTAAGAATATTTTACAACCAATTCAGGCAGCCTTAAAATTTCCATAGTAGCTTTATTTTTGAGGTAAGGCTAGACTATCTGTCATGATATAATGACAATTATAATAATTGGCTTTAATTAACAAAAAAGGATCTCGTTACAATATAGTTTTGAAAACTCAGGTAATTTGGTCATTTATAAACTTTGAAACAAGAAATTCGTAAAACATTTATTCGTTTTTGAAACATTTCTGAAATTCCAATTTCCCTTATATAAAATATTTTTGATTTTTTGTCGCGAGCAAATGTTTTTGCTTGGTACAAACTATTCAAAGAGGGACGAGAACGCATTGACGCTGAACCACCTCCAGGACGGTTGATGATCAACACCTCAATAAAACAAAGAAATTGGTGTTTGAGAACCGACGGTTAAGAGTATGAGATCTTAGTCGGGCATCGTTGGAATATCGAAAGGAACAATTTCAAAGATCATTTGGGCCTAAGGAAAGCGAGCACGATTGGATCCAAAATCACGAAATTTTTTCGAAAAACAACGTTGCGTTAACGTCTGTGAAACAATGCTTTCTGACTACCAGAATGTCATGAAACGTATTATTACTGTCGATAAGTCTTGGATGTATGCTTACGACTCGGAAACAGACGACCGATCGGCCGAGAATCGTGGCAAAGGTGAGCCGAGGCCGAAAAAACAAACGACAACTCTTAGTTTTTACACCACGATAACGCACCGTCGCATACTGTATTGATTCTTCGTTAGTTTTTCGCCAAATGTTCAACCAATATCGTGCCGAAACCATCATATTCGCCTGATTTAACTCCGTGTGATTTCTGGCTATTCAGCATGTTCAAAAGAACGCTGCAGGGAAAGCGTTTTGAGTCAATTGAAAACATTAAATAGGCTTTTCCGGAAATTGATAGATTGTAAAGAATAAATTAATAATTTTGAAATTATGAACAAAGTATTACTAATTTTTGCTCATAGTAGTGTAACTCCTCCATTATTTCCCCCACACAAAGCGATGAATTATTTTAAATCACCAACGCACCGATTACACCGTAATAACATGCCGAAATACGCCCGCAGACACAGGCTACTCAACGGACCCTCGCTAGTTAGTAGCCTGAACCATCTGCGAGTTAACCGCTCAAGCGTACAAAATACACAATATATGGGTGTATGCGCGTGTGTCCGGCGACTCCACTTGCTTTTGGCCAGGATTTAGTTAATAAACTGATCGATTGCATTGATATGTGGCATTAATTCACTTAACCGCAGCGAGCGAATGCAAACAATAACTTACTAAAGTAAATATGAGGCAAAGAAAAACCAACAAAAAATCACATACAAAGTAAATACAATGCAAAACAACAACAACAATGTTCCGACTACATCCATGTACAAAATGGTGCATGTGCACTGTCCAAACCGCTGTCTGTCCGCGGCTTGTTTGCAAATTCACCAAAACTCTTTATGCTGCCGGGCAAATTGGTGCCCTTAAACACACACAGTGGGTGAGCTGATTTACTTTCGCGATGACTCGAGTGCATACGCCAAGGCGTCATCGTTTATTGTGAAATATATGCAAAGGACAGCTGTTTGTCTTGCACCAACGGGCGGGCACGCAGAACGCCGCCGACGCTCAGACTCTGATTATCTATTCATAGGAAAAATGGAGTGAAGTGTGGACAAAGGGTCTCTCGGCGATGTGGCGGTGGTTGTAAAGGTGCATGAAATGGAAGTGGCATGCATATGTAGCAAGTTGGTGATAGAGATGTGTTGTTGCAAGATGCCTTAAGAGGTGGTCAAGCTGCAAAAAGCTGCTTTTGAATGTGAAAATTTAAGAGTTTTTTTTCAATAAGGTGGCATCACCAATTTTTAATATGTTCACAGCAAACGATTTTTTGTTTTTTAATTTTTCCTTATTTTTATTGAAAAAACATAAATTACTAAAATTTAGTAACACCAAGTTGCCAAATGCAACACATGCTTTTCATAGAATATTTTTTATCGGCAGTTTTGTTCAATTGCTTTCAACACAGGCCAATGTCTGTCAATACGCACATCAACATTAGTTTTTTTTTATATTCTTTCAGACATTCAACAGCATTTGTTGGCAACAGCGTGCGCTGCGGCTACTGCTGTTGTTGTTGTCATGCAAAAGTTGTGGGCGCTGTTAGCCGTCTACGTTGCATGCATAATTACACACACCAACAAACATGCATATGTATGTGTTGCACGTTGACGACGTGACAGCAGCGCTAACAACAGCAACGGCGGCAATATCTAGCATTGATGTTGCAAGTTAAGTAGTTTCTGCTGTCGTCACACAAGTCATTTGCCACGCTGCTTGTTGCAATATCGCCGTTTTTTTGCCTTTAGGGTATTTCGTTGAGGCATTGCACGTATATGTTCACTGTTGCAAGTTGCTTTACGTTGTTGCAAGTAACTTTGCACTGTTGCAGTTTACTCCGCATCTATGAACAAGTGTTGTCGCCTGCTGCTTGGCAGTTTTCCACTGCTGCAGTTGCTTCTTGTAGCCTGTGGGTGGATGCTTGCGTTCGAACATGGCAATGCGCAGCCGTGTGGCATGCATTCGGCACTCGTTAGTAGGGGCATGCTGCGTGGGGAAAAACAAAATTTTGCAACAGAAACCAATGCAACAGCACAAGCTAAGAATAACTAATGTAAATGAGGCATCTTATATATTTGTTGCAAGTTTTTCTGTAGTTTCTTGAAAATTTTGCGAGTTGAAGATTAATTTAAAGTGCTTCAAATTTTTATGAAAGTAATGTTTTTAGTTTACAGTAAATATCTATTGTGAATATCAGCAAAATGTAACATAGAAACAATAATTGTCGACAGTGTTGCCACATAGCTCAAAATTTATAAAGAAGCAAATTTTTCCTGTATCGATTATTTTTATCCGTTATGAGTCCTATAAAAAAATAAGAAGAAAATTTGAGAGGGTTGCCACATAACTTAAAAAATTAAAAATTTAATTGAACTAAAAAAATCGTGTTTATTTATGTCAGTCTGTATTAGAAGAAAACACTAACTTTTTTATTATTTTTTATTATAAGGATTAATGGCGTTGCCACCTAATTTTATTTAATATATTTCATTTTTTATCAAATATTCTACCTTATAATGAATAATTACGTAATATTATTTATATGAAATAATAAAAAACATATATTTTGAAAACCATTAATCTGTATTTAAGGTTACCACCTGGTTTGAGTTATGAAAACTTTTTCAGAAATTGAATGCTTTTATTGAAAAATATTTTGTTTAGATATATGTATAAAATATCATCAAGAGTGGAAATATATTATAGAGCTTGTTGCCACACATTCTTAATTACGAATAAAAAAGATATTGCTTTTTTATCAAAATTTAATAAAACAAAGAATTTGACAACTCAACTTGAATACATACATATGTCTTTAAAGAGATAGAAACTATAAAAAGGAAGTTGCCACATAATTTGAATACATGAGTTTATAATTCAAAAATATGACAATATGCAATTATAAAGTTACCATCTTATTTTAAACTCACTATAAATTTTGAAGAGTTGCCTTATCTTTATAGTGGGCTTATATAAAATTTACTAGCTATTTTTTTAATAATTGAAATTATAGCCTTGTTTACATTACAGATGGCGATACCGTTTTTTTTTCATAGAGTTGCCACCTAATACTCAGATACCTTACTTGTTTCTGAGCCTCAAGGAAACTTAAAAAGGAAGATTTTGATTCACTGTTCCCATTACAAAATATTTCATTTTTATTTTGGATGATTTTTTTAATTTTTTTCTTTTTAATTTTTAAAAATTTCGAATTAGTAAAATCGTTATTTTCTCAAAACTTTTATGTATGAAAACCCTTTAGAATGTACGTTCGCTTCCTAATAAATTATATGCAAGTTCTTAGCCCCACTGCGGTAATCGAACTGATCACAGCTTATTGCTAGAATATCACTCAGATCTAGTCTGGCAACACAACTCAAACCCAATTATAGCTCATCGATACCATAAAGCATTTAAAAAACAATTTATTTTCATTACCATTGCAAAAGGTGTAATTCTTTGGCAATTTATATGCGAGGAAAGTAATCGCGCGCGGCTAATTGATTCAAATTAAAGCAACTCCTCGCGCCAACAGGCGGAAATGTAAAATGAAACGAATGCAAAAGCCTCGGGCAAAGGTGGCGAGCGAAGCAAAAATGCCGCAAATAGCACACAAATAAAATACTCAAGCGAATAACTCAAGGGAAAAAATCTGAGTTACACGGCGTACAAAGTTCTAAAAGACCGCAGGGGCGGAAATGAATGATACGCAGACAGTGGAACCAGACAAAAGCAGCTGGTGCAGAGGAACGAAAAAATTCGCAACTCTGGTAGCGCTTATAATAATAATATACAGTTTTTATTAGCGACGAAGAAATGCGAAAATAAATTAATAACCTTTTGTAGCAAACAAAGCGTATGCGCATGCGCAACAGCCAACCACCATGGCCGCCGCGTTCAATGCGCTGAATTTGAAAATATGAAAAGTTAATGAAACCATAAATTAGTTGTAAGCAAGAAGCTCATTAGACGGACGCGCGCACAACGCCAAAGCCGCCACTGGCACGGCATAACTTCAAATTAAATGTGCTGCCAGATGGCCAAGGGCTTTGTTGAAGGCCAAGTGTACGGCGTGCGGTGTGAGGGCGCGTAGATCGCGTAAATTGAGTTCTCAACTGTGTGGCTGCGGGCAGTTAGTGCGGAACGCCTTCGCGCCGTCTAGCCACCTTGAGTACTAGGTGTATACGCAGCATACAGGTGGCTGCGGCGGCAACGACACCACACAGCCGCATGTCAATAGCATTTGCAACACTTTTCTCTATTAGCTAGTCACACTACTTTACTACAACCATTTCGATTATTTGTCGCTCATTTGTTTCACATTTTATTCTATTTATTTCTTTACAGCTGCAAGTGCAACAACAAGTGTGGACCAACAGTAACTACGCAAAAATGCGACACAGTAAACGAACGCTGCACAGCCTAAGCAATAGCAACAACATACCGTGGCTATTGCTGCTATGTCTGCTCATCGCCTCACCAGCCACCACCATGGCAGCTAGACGTTCGCGTCTCGATCAGGCTGAAAGCGCACAACCTATCGCCCCAAACGCCGACGCCGCCTCCACCGCCACGAAGGACAGCAATTTGCCTATTGCCGAACAACAACAGATCGCCACAGCCGCATTAGTCGATGCAGCAGTACCACCAGTAGTAGCACCTGTGGCAGCACCGGTTTCCACGGTCACAGCCAGTAACAATGTCGATGCTGCAAACAGCGATGATGCGAAGCGTCAATCAGAAGAGTCTGCAGTCGGTAGCAAAACACCGGCTGTCGCTACCGATTTGGGGGGTGGCTCCGAGGCAAAACATGCCATTGACAATGCGGTGGTGGCCAGCGAAGCGGAAAGTGAACCACAACAGCATGTTGATGTGCGCTCGGATGCTGCAGCAGCGTTAGCGTCGGCGGCGACGGCGGAGGTGCCGGTTGCAGCACCTGCGGCACTCAGTTCGACAACCACGGCTGCGGTAGCGTCGGCTGAAAAGTCGACTGCACCTGAACAACACAATGCCGATGAGGAGGATCAATTACCCAAGGAACAGAAAGAATTGCCGACAGAGATTGGCGATGAGGACATTGACTTGTTGGATGGCAGCAGTAGCGTTGGTTCGGTTAGCGGCGGACACGATGGTAACACGGTTGAGGAATGCGATCCGGAGTTGATTGGCTTCGAAATTGTGACAGGGTGAGTAGATCAAAAGCGTTTAGGTGTTTTCGCCATTTTTCAAAGGCAATTTAATCAATCTAATCAACTAAAATGTTGTTGTATTTTTTTGTTTATAATTTCAAAAATATTTTTTTTCCTGATTAGCTAAATTAAATAAAAAGCACAGTTTTTCATTTAAAACCAGCTAGTTTCGCCATTATTGACTCATCTGATTTGAAGTATTTTTTATGAAAGTTACCAAGAAATGTGCACGCATAAAGTTCACTTGTGTTAGTGGTGAATCTATTACATTTTTGTGGGTTTATTATAGAATAATTTAAACGTCCATTTTAACAAAATTATGTTTAGATCTCAAGAAGAAGGATAATGAATTACGGTCAGACCAGGATTAAATTTAAGTACGATTAGGTATATAAATATCTGTAGATCTAAAATGTATGCTTCAGTTCAATTTTTCCAAACACATTGCCTACATTTCTGGGCGAAACGGTATGGGTGGCAATAGAGATAATAGAAGTTAAGCAGCATTAGAGCGTTGAGTGTTCTCTACAATATATTCTTTCCAAAAATTAGGTATATAAATACCTAGAGCTCAAAAATGCATGCTACAATTTATTCCTTCCAAAAACGTTGCCTACCTTTCTGCGTAAAACTGTAAAGTCGTCGAAATTTTTTAAAGAAATAATAGCCTAAATTATAGCTAGAAAGAAAACTAACTGCAACCGCGTTAAGTTTTATGCGATCAAATTTGGAAAGTACTGCAAAAAATAAACCTATTAATCTTAAGGTTTCATAAGGGTATAGAGGTTTAACAGATTTTCTATTTTTAAATACTAACTCAACAAAATCCTACAAAATCACACTCCTACTAATGAACGATCAGTTCTCCACGCCTGATATTAACGTTATTATTTTTAGTATCTTCTCATATTTCATCTCAGTTCAAGTTAATTATTTATTGCTTTATTTCTACTGCGGTTTTTAATAGTGGACAATCAAAGTCAAACAGCCAAACAATAACTGTCAATTAACATTTGACACATATTTCTCTTGACCACACGCCATTTGACTCCCATAATTATTGACTTTATAAGGTGATGTGGTTAAATGTGACAGCGTTTGTGGTAGCTTGTGGTTGACACTTTAGTAGAGAGTAAATATATTTTTTAGATATATTTAATGATTATTTTTCCTTTTTTGGAATATAAGAAAAATGTCAGTATCATGGGAAGATATTACGCAATCTAGTCAATAGAAATAAACTACAAACATGAAATTAATTTAATGGATTCAAAAACAGCAATAATCAAATCCGGGAATAACTCCAAGTGTTGCTAAACTTGATACTAAAAGTTGTTACGAGATAATTCAACACTTATTTTGCGAAGAAACCAATTGAGTTTCAATCAAATTTGGTATCGCATTAACTGGTACCTATATATTAAAGGTCGGTTGCTCACTAATTTCATTCGTATTGAATTTATTATATTGGTTGTATGAGGAAAAAGTCAATGAAATAAATGGAAGTCATTATATAAGGGACAGAAGGTTTATTCCAAGGTCTGGACTTACTGATTTGGGTCTTCTTCAATTGACGCGCCAGCGGCAACAATATTCTCGACACTACGCGCCTTTCTTTGTCTCACTGGCACGGGAACATTTTGTACTGTGACTGTGGAATCAAATTGTTTTACTAGACGCTCAATTGTTGATCTGACAGGACGATTATGACTACCAAAAATTGAACGTAGCACTCTTACGGGGGTATTCTACTCTAGAATTTTGAAAAATTCGATTTTTTTTTTTTATAAATTTAAAGTTTAGACCCTGGAGAACATATCCTCCAAAGGATTTTTAAAAATTAAAATTATTTTTAGAGTTACTTTAGTGATGCAGTACCTAGCCCGGTAGGTAGGTAGACTCACTTTTTTAAACGTGTTTTTCTGGAAACTAATTTTTTCCACATGGTACCGGCATTATCTCAAGTTCTATACAACCGATTGACTTTAAATTTTGTGTGAACCTTCTTTAAATATTCCTTTATCCTTTATCTTTATAAAATCCTTAATCCTTTGTTTTTAATATTTTAAAAAAATTCAGCGTAAAAAATGATTTTAATTTTCAGGCAGTCGCCATTTTTCTCTCCCAATAATTATTTTAATTTTTAATATTTTTTTGTAATTTTTTTTTCCTGTATTCTTAAGATATCGGTAAAAACACCATAAAAAATGGATAATACAATTTTTTTTTTTTTTTTAATAAAATTCAAAAAACTGCCCAAAATTTGATTTCTACAGTAGTATACCCCCTTAAAGTAGAGACCGCTGACTCCGAATTTCGGTAATAAATTTTAAAAATTTTGACTGGTTTTTGAATCGTGTATCCCTCCTAGATGAAATGGTAAGGTTACAAAAGAGAAATGTCAAAAGAGCGTAAAATATATGAAAAAATCGTTATATCATTTAGAACTTTAGAAATAAACGCAGAAAGAAGAATAATCATAAAAATATAGCGCCAGAAATTATTATCCGTGGAATACTTCCGTCTTAAGGCGGATTTTGACTATATGGAACACTTACGGGATATCACAAGCGCCTCGACGAATGTTTTTGGAACTAGAACCAAAGATTTGTGCACACATTTCCCACAAAAGCTTATTTTGAATATAAAAAATAAGATCGCGTTCGCATTTACGTGCTACATAAGTGGCCACGCCACAGTCTAGCCACGAACAAGTACTTGGCACTTGCAGAAGTGTCAACGAAAGCCACCTGTCAGTGAAGCAATCACATATTTAACAAACATCCGCTGCTACTTAGTTAGAAGCTAAAAATATGTGAATATTTGTATGTGTAAAAGTGCGCGACACAGCGCCTGAAGTGTCAACGAAAAAGGCGTGAAAAATCTTGCTTTGAAAAAAGAAGGAACAAAAGAAATGAAAGAAATGGCATTTATATATAAATAAATTCAATAAGACCAAATAAGGACGGCGCATGCATACACACAGGCACAATGTGAAGAGTGAGGCGAGTTGCCACAAAGTGCTTAACCAAATCGGGGTGCAATTGTCGTACTCGCCGTCGGAGTGGCAGTTGCAGTGGCAATTGAATAACTTAAAAAGGAAATTTAAGATATCTGCAAGGAGCATAAACAATTACCGGCCGCTCAGCAAAGGAATTTCGTTCGCATTACAGCAACCAGAAATGTAGAAAGGAAAAATCAAGTCGCGCGCGCTACCAACTGCAATAACAGCAGCAGCAACAACAACAATGGCAATGCTAATAATGCCACAACGCACAATTCAATAAATTGCCTGCCACAACAGCAACAACAACAAGCACGAAGGAAGGAAAAAACGTAGCTACGAAACACTTAGTGCAGCACGAACGACTTCTTAGCGAGCAAGTAGACTGCAGTCAGGCACATTCATTCAGTCACGCTGCAGCAGTTCATTGCATAAGCGCTGGCTGCCTTGCCACAGCCCACCATTTGTGTGTGTGTGTGTGTGCGAGCAAGACGCAGAAGGCGAACAATTGCGGCAACGCTGAGGGGGTGCTGGCGAGCGCAACGAATTGGCCGCGCCTGATCGGCAACAAAACGCACAGCGGCAGCAAAGCTACAAGAAGTAGGGGGGGTAGGGAGACGCGATGGTGCGCAAGAAAATCGAATGCAATTTCCAAATTGCAGCTCAAGTCAAGGCAGGACACTTTTCATTAGAGTCGCGGCGGCTACGCAGCGCAGCGCGGCAACAACTGTCACTTTAATGTGTGCGCGCCACAACACAGACGCCGCGCGCGCCGCCGCTACTTGCCACAATCGACAGCACTTGTAACAATTGCTGTTTTTCTGTGGAGCCGCGCACATAGCCGGAAGCTGTTGTTTGTCGCTACGGTTATTTGCTGCAATTGTTTGTTGTTGCAAGTGCCATTATTGCGAGCGCCGCCAACAAATGCACATAATATAACAGCAACAACATACTACACAAGGCATTTTTACATAAGCAATATGTGTGCGTGCTGCGCTCCCGCTGCTCCTGTTTGCCTCCGCTCGTATGTCATAAATATTCGCAATGCATCAGCGCGCCTGCCGCATATATATATACAAGCGGCCATATTCGACTTGCACATGTATTTCGCTTGTGCAGCAGTGAGCAAACATTTTTTGGAATTTTTATTGCAACATTGCAAGCGCAAGTTTAATTGAGTTAAAACAAAAAACGTTTCGTTATTTTCTCATGGCCGCTTGCGCATGCGCAGCTTTTCTCAGCTAGCTAGGACTTTGTTGTTGTTGGCGTTGTTGTAGTTGGTGGCATGTAATTATTGATGAGTGGAAGCAATGCTTGAAAGCAGATGTTCGCGCCAAGCTTTGAGTGGCAGCAATTTTTCGCATAACTGTGGCGGTAATATAGTAATTTTGCAAAACAATTAATAGAGTGCGAGTTATCGGAAAAGTGGTGAAAAATATTTGCGGTGCATAGGTCGAAAAAATTTAACGGCGGAAGCAAGCGCATTCCGTGAAAACATATATTGTTGAAATTATGATTTATTTTCAATTTCTCGCAGCTTGGAATATAGATTCTATTAATAATACTGTTTAAGAGGGTACATTAGGTTAGGTTAGGTTAATGTGTTAGGCCAATGTCTTCTAATGAGTGCCAATATGAATTTTTTATACTTCCGATCTACCGTTTTGCACATGACTTTTTCAGTTTTGCACGCAGATAGCTCGTTCCACTAGGTTTTTGATTTCCATCTACTATTTCATTGCTCTCAATGCCTTTATGGCCTGACATCCAGTAGAAGTGAACTTGCAACACTTTCTACTGCATCCCTGCTTCTGGCCGATGTGCGATACAAAGTTGCTGCTTTGACTGCTGGATATATTAAGTTTACCGAGGGCTTTTAAAACCAGGAAGGTTGAAAAAAAATAATTTCAAAACGTTTGAAGCCTATGGCAAAGATCCAAAAGTGTGAAAAATGGATGCCACTTGATTTGAATGAAAGACAAATGGAAAACAG